AGCCGGGCTGCACCGCCCTTGTGCAGACGCCCTGTCCTCCCCCTGCCAGCACCGGCTGCAGCTCTGCGTTAGCAGCTGTTGAAAAGGTGGAAGACTTTAGCGTTTCAGAGTTCGTCCGACTAACTGGATTTGGTAACTGATTCAGATTAACTGAATTATATGAATGTGAAAAAATTGGCAAAATGTCCACCTGAGCCTGTTCCCAAAGCGCCACCCCGCACTTTGCGGCCCGCGGGCTGCATGTTTCACACGCACGGGGCCTTGGGCAGGCTGAGCTCTGTGCCCGAGCGAGCGCCCGGGCGCCCCGGCCGCAGCCGGCCCCGGCTCCGACGGCTCCAGCTCCCCCACCACGCTGGGCGCTCGGGATCTGCTCGTGCTTATGGGGTGCTGTAACCACCCAGACCTTAGCCCAGCCGTGTGCTCGGGCTCTGCTTAGTATTAAGCACACAGAGCAGTGTCACTTCCACTCATGGGGAAGCTAAGCACGTTCTTTCCTAGGCAGAGCTCACAGGGACCTGTAGGGGTGACTAAAATCCTTTCATCTCCTAACTAAACAGCAGTGACCAAATTACAACATGAACACGGGGTTGCATTTGCTCCCCATGAGAATCTAGGTTTTTCCTTTACATGCAGCTGTCAGCTTCAAAGCAGCCTTCACTCACACGCACTATTAAAGCAGAGGCAGCACAACTGTCACCACAGCAGCACACCGTGCAACTCGAGCTGTAACATTTTGCCCCTTTCTGCTCATTCTTCTGCCCGTTTCAGAACTGTTACTTGGTCCTTGTGTGCATCCCTTTGCTGTAAACAAACCAGAAACAAACTGCTGTTGTTGCTACATAGCCACAGCCATTTGTCACTGTACAAATATTTCCCTTTAATAGCTTGCTGTAATTAAATTGCTTACTCTTATGTCAAGATTGAAAATAATGCTCCCAATGCTTTCCCTGTGCCTCTCTGCCTGCAGAATAATGCTGGCCCTGCAGTTGGCATCGGTGAGATTTAAAAGGTCTTATTAAAAAGCTTCCCTTATAAACATCATATTAACAATTCAAAAAACACTTTCAATTATGAGCTTTTCCAAGAGTGTCTCTGAGCTGCTGTGCTCTGCTACGCGGCGCGCACTGATGAAGAGTTCCTCATCGCTGTGCAGTCACAGAGCGGTGTGTGATCCCAGCCCGGGCCCTGGGCCCCTGCTGCGTCCCGGGGAGGCCCTGAGCACGCGGCCCCAGCAGGGCCTCCTGCCCCCGTGCAGCACCTGGGGCCTGTTACCCCAATCTGCAGGGAAGGAGAACACCCGAATGCCACAGAAGTGCTGCCTTCACTGGAGCTAGCGCAGCAGGAACCATGCACAACAAACCTGTGCTGCACCTAGTGCTTGATTTGCTATGAAGTACTTGGGGTGCATCAAGTAGTTCCCCTAAAACTCATCATCTAAATAAATTGCTTGCCCCAACCCTGTATCATCTGCTGAGATGAAAGATAAAGAAGAGAGAAAGCTCTTGGTTTCCACTCTCCACACCTGCAGTCAGCTCCATGTGCCCGTTTCCCTCTATGGAACAGGAGTAAAGGTGACAGCATCAGCCTTAGGTCTCCACGTGAAGGCTCATTCCTGCAGTTCCCGGCAGCAGTACCTGGATCGGTGGGAACCGATGTCAGCAGG